TTGCTTCTCCTGCCATGACTATAAGTTTCCTGAGGTCTCCCTATTTCTGCGAAACTGTGAGTCAATTAAAACTCTTTCCTTTATAAATTACCCACTCTCAGGTAGGTCCTTATAGCAGCATGAGAACGGACTAATACACATACAGAAAGATTTCAAAACTGAGCCAGTTTAAAGATAGGAGAAATGATAAGAAATTAGCAAGCGACCCAGAATTAGCAAAAGAAGCAAGGTGCTTTGAAACGGGAAAACCCCAGAGTGTGTCACATGAAAGCCAAGGGGAGAGTAGAGTTCACTGAGAAGAGAAGGTTCTATCGTGTCAAATGCCACTGAGGGAGTCAAGTAAGATGAGACTGAATTGTTCAGTAAAGTGGAGACAGACTGCCAGCGGCTCGGTAAGAACAGTTTCAGTGGAGCAATTGTTGATTTATTTGAATGTGTTCAAGAGAGAATTGAAGAACAGGAATCCAAGAAAGAAAGTTTAGGCAACTTTAGAGACCTTAAGGTTTCAGGGAAATGCAGTGGTGACTAGAAAGGGAATTGGAATGAAAAGTTTTGTTTTGCTTTGTTTTTTAACTAGTGGATACATAGGAGTGTGTTTGTACACTGATGGGGATAATCCAGCAGAGAGGGAACATTGATGACTGAGGCAGTAAGTGTTGAATTGAGCTCTTGAGCAGTGAGAGGGGTGGGGGCTGGTGAACACCAGGGGAGCCGGAGGTTCAGTGGGTGGTACACATGCTGGTGGGTGAGCAGAGAAGGTACTGAGCTCTTGTGTGGGTTCTGCTCTGGTTGCTTCATCTTTCCCAGTGAAATAGGACACAGAGTCATCTCCAGTCATCTTCACTGGAGAGTAAGAATGGGGAAGAAGGTGTTTAAAGCTTGAGAAAGGAAAACATAAAAAGACATAATTTAAAAGAGTAGGAATGCAAATGGACTGGGAAGATGAAGTGTGACTGTGGAGCAGCCCTTGGGTCCACTTCAGAGTAAAGATCCGGGATAGAAAGAAGCACAAGTGTGCAGGGCCATGCCGCTTCTCCAAGCACAGTTACACAGGGTTAGGCCTGATCTAGGTGGAGAACAGAGTTTAGCCAGGGTAAAAGAAACAGCAGAGATGAGGAAGCGTGTCAGACATGACTATCGTGATTGAGCATGGAATTTACACAATGTAAGAAGAAAGAGGAAGGCTCGAAGGGGTTAAGGGACATGAAAATGAGGTAGAAAACAGGTCCAGGGATACATGAGAGAGTGAGCTCACCAGCTAGGAGGCATTAATCAGAGTGTGAGGTATGTAAAGTGGAGATTATGAAGCTGTTGAGTAATCCTAAAGTTTAGGTTATATCAGCTGTCCCCAACCCTTTTGGAACTAGGGACCGGTTTTGTGGAAGACAATTTTTCCACTGGGGTTGTGGTGGGAGGATGGTTTGGGAATGAAACTGTTCTAACTCAGATGATCAGGCATTTGTTAGATTCTCATATGGAGGACACAACCTAGATGCCTTCGATGCCCAGTTCACAATAGGGTTTGCACTCCCATGAGAATCTAATGCTGCTGCTGTTCTGACAGGAGGCAGAGCTCAGGGGGTAATGCTAACCCTGCCAAGCACAGCTCACCTCCTGCTGTGTGGCCTAGTACCTAACAGGCCACTGACCCATAACAGTTGGGGACCCCTGGGTTATACAATGAGAATAAATCTCTGAGACTGGATGGGAGACAAAATCATTGACGGCGAGATCACATTTCTGATAGGCAAGGAATCTGTATTAAACAAGTGATTGTGATGTAGGTAATCCAAGGACTATTCTTGTTAGGAACTCTAGTTTTAAGTAGAGTTGGTGAGCTAAACACAAAAGTTTAGAAGCCAGAAGACATAAGGGGGCTGGAAGAAACAGGAAAGATATTAACAGAATGTGGCATCTGAAGTGTGCAGGACACCATGTTGAACAGTTCCCATGCCTCTTTGTGTTAGTATTTGTTTCTGGCAACAAGACCGAATTCTAGAGATCATTATCATCTCTATTTTACAAATGATGAGCATGAGGGGAAGGGAAGTTAAATAACACACACAGAGGTAACTCTGTCTGATTCCAAACTCTGAGCTTGCCACCATTATGTCCACCTGTCTTGAAGGGTGCACTGATTATGATAGAGCAGGTAATAATAAAATCCATATCCTAAAATGTGATTACTAGACTTATGAGATTAGAGACTCTTGAGAACAACATTGCATACAAAGCCCCATAATATACATGATCTCATCTAATCCTCATATTAATCCTGTGTATTAATTTGCCAGGATCATGGGGCCAGTAATTAGCAAAGCCTGGATGTGAAGCTCATCCTCCGACCTCCTGCTTGTAAACTCCTGCCACTACGTATCACCATTATTTTCCAGCTATGGTTCAGACAGCAACCTTAAAGAGACTCTAAACGGTTTTGAATAAATGTATTAATAAGGAACCGTTACTAGTTATTTCTTTTTAGAACATAAAAAGTTTCATAATTCCTATGTTTCCATGGGAACATTAGTTAGCATAGAATGCAGCATTCTTCCTGTTATGGAATGTTCTTTCTATAAATGCATGCATTCACTCAACTAATATTTAATGAGCAAATAGTCTGTGCATGTCCTGTGCCAGGTGCAGAGGATGCAGTCCAATAAGAAACATCCTACTATAGGGGAATCTTTGGTCCGCCCCAGGTCTTAAGCACCTCAGATACTCTGCAGGGTCTTTACATGCCTGGTGCAATTTACGACGCTGCATTTGACCTAGAATACACTCCATCCCTTAGGACCCAGTTACCTAAGAGATCATCCCTCTCCCTAATGGTTTGTCACAGAGTAAGATCACTGGTAGCACCCTGGAGATAAAATCTTAGATTTGGATTCCAGAGAAATAGAATCTGGTTGTTTTCCAAAAAAGGATTCTTCTACTCCAAGAAGACCCAATTTTAAAGCTGGATTTGAAAATATCCTCGTTTGCCTGGCATACTAAGCATCTTAGTGGGACTGTGTTGCCCCTCAGCCATCACTTGGCGATGCCTTTCGCTAGAAATACCGGATTTGTACACGCCATGTAATCATGTATACACTCTATAACTCAACACCCTCCTGCCAAAATGTCAGGCCAAGGCCAAGCAAGGGAAGGGCTTGGGCACCAGACTGTGAGAATACCAGGCAATGTATCCAGAGCGCGGGGCAAATTCCACTTTATCCAGGTTGGTGCTGACACAGCCTGTGATATGTAGCATACAATGCGTGAGGCAGCTCTCTCCACGTGCAGTGAAATTCGTGCGCTTCTACTTCATAATGTTACTAATTAAGAATGGCACTATATACTAGATCGAACTCACCTGGCACCTACCACAGAGAAGCGGGGGTGGCTGGGGGGGGGGGTGTTATGGTTTGCCTCCAGATTTAGAAGATCCAACTGGTGCTTTTAGTGGCAGTGTTAACTCGTGTTGCCTCACTTCCCCCCGCTCTTAAAGTATGTGAGTCACGGTATAATTTAAGAATTACACTCTCTATCTCTTACATTTGCGAAAGTTAAGTGAGACAAATCAAAGCTTAAGTTTTCTTATTTAAAAAATGAAGAGCCTATATTTTATTTAGGTTTTAATAATCTCTTAAAACCGCAACATATTTTATATTCTCCTTGAATCACTCCGATAACAGATTTAATTTCGAGTCATTTCTGGAGTTGTGGGACCACACAGCTAGTTAGCAACCCCTATAGCTTTAAGAAAAGGTATTTCTAGTTTTGGAGTAGGGAGTAGGGGAGGTGGCGCTAGCTCTGGGCTCCGCCACTCGCCACCCGCGGGCTGGGGGCGGGGTGGTACTCGGTTTCCCGCGGCTGCTGGCCGCGCCCTGCCGCCCCACCACGCCCGGTGCCGCCGCCAGGGGTGCTGCGCTTCCCACCTGCAGCAGGACGCCGCGAGGGCCGGTGCGGGACCCACGGGGCTGCAGCTTCTCCTGGCTCAGAGCTTCCCGGACGCCGAGAGCGCCCGAGGGACCCGCGTGGGGCTTGGGCCTGGGCCGCGGAGGGCCCGAGCACCTCCGCACCTGCCCGGAGCCCTCGGAATGCCAGCTGCTTCCTTCGAGGGTGCTGGCTTGGGGCTCCCCCCGGACCCGCCCGCTCTCCGCTAACGGCGCGGCACCAGGCTCCACGCTCCGGGTTCCGCACCCCTTTCTCTCCCCGGCTCTCCCCGGCATGGTCGGGCACGCCCACTGCCGCTGTTGGCCTCTGAGCCCGGGCGCCTGAGTAACACCGGTTCTCCCCACGGTCGTGAGCCCCAGCCGCGCTCCCAGCCCCTCGGCTGCTGGCGGCTCCTGGTGCCGGCGGTTCGGCGTGGAATACAAAGAGGCCTGCGCCTCCCTGGCTCTCGCCGCCGCCACACCCGTCCGTGCCCACTCTCCGCGGTCCTTCGCGAGGGCTGCACGCGGGGGCCCCTCCTCTCGGCGCGCTCCTCCTCCTCCCCCTCCCGCTCCCCCTCCCCCAGTGTCGCTCAAACCCACCCAGCGTTCCCGATATCCCGTGAGTGGGGGCCTTCGCCTGTCTCCCTCAGGCCCCCTCGGCCGCTTCTCCCGGCCCTGGGACCCGCCAGGCCCGTCCCCCCACCCTCCGCCCGCCGCTCCCCTCGGTCCCGGCCCCTCCTCCGAGGCCCTCCTCCTCGCTAGCCCCTCCCGAGCCAGGGTGGGAGCGGCGGCAGCTGGAAGAGAAGGGATGAGGTCATCCTCTCCCTCGGAGTCAGCTGGTGGAGGAGAGGAAGCGGGAGGAGGGAGCGCGCGCGAGGGGAGGAGAGGAATGTGCAGGTCCGAGGAGCGCCGCGGCGGCCGCTGCTGCTCCTGCTGCTGGCGGCGGCGGCGGCTCGGGCGGCAGCCGCGAAGCCGGGACGGCGAGGAGCGCGGGCGGCGGGCAGGGGCGCGCGCGGGGCGCTGCGAGCAGCTTGGCTCCGCGCAGGCAGCCAGGCGGCGCTCCTGCCGGCTCCGGGTGCGCCGCTAGCCCGGCCCAGCGCCCAGCCCGGCAGGCGGCGGGCGGCGGCGGGCGACGGGCGACAGGCGCAGGAGCAGGAGGAGGGGGAGCCGCGCCGCCTGGGAGGGAAGCCGGAGCGAGGCGAGGAGGTGGCGGGAGGAGGAGACAGCGGGGAAAGGTGTCAGATAAAGGAGGGCTCTCCTCCCGAGCGGAGGCATCATGGCCGCTAAATCAGACGGGAGGCTGAAAATGAAGAAGAGCAGCGACGTGGCGTTCACCCCGCTGCAGAACTCGGACCACTCGGGCTCGGTGCAGGGACTGGCTCCGGGCTTGCCGTCGGGGTCGGGAGCCGAGGACGAGGAGGCGGCCGGGGGCGGCTGCTGCCCGGACGGCGGAGGCTGCTCGCGCTGCTGCTGCTGCTGCGCCGGGAGCGGCGGCTCCGGGGGCTCGGGCGGCTCCGGCGGCGGCGCTGGCGGCTCGGGCGGCGGCGGGGCGGGCTCGGCGGCGTTGTGCCTGCGCCTGGGCAGGGAGCAGCGGCGCTACTCACTGTGGGACTGCCTCTGGATCCTGGCCGCTGTGGCCGTGTACTTCGCGGACGTGGGCACGGACGTCTGGCTCGCGGTGGACTACTACCTGCGCGGCCAGCGCTGGTGGTTCGGGCTCACGCTCTTCTTCGTGGTGCTCGGGTCGCTGTCGGTGCAAGTGTTCAGCTTCCGCTGGTTTGTGCACGATTTCAGCACCGAGGACAGCGCCACCGCCGCAGCTGCCTCCAGCTGCCCGCAGCCTGGAGCGGATTGCAAGACGGTGGCCGGCGGTGGGTCTGCAGCCGGGGAAGGCGAGGCTCGTCCTTCCACGCCGCAAAGGCAAGCATCCAACGCCAGCAAGAGCAACATCGCCGCGGCCAACAGCGGCAACAACAGTAGCGGGGGTACCCGGGCTAGTGGCAATCACAGATCTGCGTCCTGTTCCTTCTGCATCTGGCTCCTGCAGTCACTCATCCACATCTTGCAGCTCGGGCAAATCTGGAGGTACTGTATCAGGGGTGGGGGAAGAGGGAGGCTTGCTGCTGCCACTACATCCCCACTGCTTTGCTTTTGCACGGAAATCGTTCAGGGTTACTGTGGTAGTAACCTTAGTCACACTCTTCCAGCTTTTTGGGGGGTTCTTTTGAACTGGAGCTTGCATTTTTAAAATTTGCAATCTCAGCCTCGGGTGGGAGGGAAGTGAGAAGCAAGGGAAGGACAGCAAAGTGGTTTCGATCACCTCTTCCCTTCTGTCTTCCCACTCTGCCTCACTGGCTTCTCACTCTTCGCATGCCACAACCCCCCCAACCCCCCCGCATTTTTAGTGATATTGTTTCAGTGAGTAGGACAGTATTCCTGTCACATCTTCTAAAACTCCTTTTTTATTATGTTGAATTTGAGGTGTGTGTTGCCATTTGGATGGTTTCTTTTGTTCCCTGGGAAAAAAAATTACTAATTCCAGTGAGATGGGAGTTGCTGCTGCTTAAAAGTACCCACGTATTATGATCACTGCTGGAGAAGTACTTTGCTCAGAGTAAAGAGCCCAGTAGGCAAATGACTTGTCATTTACACACACACACACACACACACACCTCCAAGCATGAGTCAGTAAACTTTACAGGGCCCAGATTTACTTTTAGACTGCCCCTTCTGATTATCTTGCCATATCTCCAAATCTAATTTCTCATGTAACTATGAACCTTTGGAGAAGGGGTGGGGCACTGTGTTAACTTTAGTCGTACTTGGCGTCTTCGTTGGCCACTTTGCTGCTTGTCATGCGATCTACCGGGTCTTTTTACACAGGGACCACTTCACTTACAAACTGGAATACAAGGCTAAACTTGGGCGGAGGGAAACCACTGCTTGAACAGTCACTGCATGGACTTAGGGACAGAATGAAATAGTATGCTCAGGAATACATTCTTTTGACTTTTGTATGTTATTAGTAGATTTTGAAGCAATATTTTACATTTATAAAATTACTCGTATGGAAGTCTATAGATTCTAACATCTCAGAGCGATTTTGGTTTTAAAGTAACTTAGTAAATAGGTGGTGTAAGTGAAATGAGGACAATTCCTAGAAAGTACACCAATCTGGGAACACACTCTGTGATACCAGTGCTCTTTTTCAATTTTATTTGTGGATACTTTTGTGATAAAAGACATGAGTTGTTGACTATGCCGAAGTATCCCCTGTGTAAACAACTCAGAGGATTGTGGAATAGAACCACACACTTCTTTTTATTTATGACGAACAGCCAGGTTTTCAACTGAGAAGAGCAAGTGTGGTGATTTCACAACCTTTCCTGTGACTAGTGATTTGTAATGCAGACTGAACATTGCCATAGATGGTGACCTTTCAGATTGTGAAACTTTTTTTTTTTTTTGAGCAGATACTTTCTGGAAAAGTGATATTTGATATGTTGTCTGACAAATTGGTGTTGGAAGCCTTCATACATATTTTGGACTCAAAGGAACTTTTCAAAATGTTAGTTAAATGTGATAACTGTGTTTCCCATGGATGACTGTTGGGAAGACTTATAGCTAGATGCTCTTCAAGTATGGTGAAGGACTTAAGTGCTTAATTTAATTACTGAAGTTACTGAGTGGCTAGGGTGCATCGGATTAGCATTTCTAATCTGATAATATGGTAAATTAAGCTTCACATTCCATTTGTTAACTTTTTCAAACTTTATCAAGATTTGGAAATCATTTAATTTTAACCACATTTAAAGTTTCTAGACATGTAAATAATGCAAATACTTCTCTATCCTATTAACTAAATAAGTGTACATTTTTTTTACAGATTCATACTTCATGAAAAATCTGATATCAAATTCTGTGAACTGAGGGAGCCCTTTTAATTATAGGTGTGTTTACTATACCTTTGAAACCAAACATCTTCGCAATTGAAAAATGATGCTTAATTTTCTCAGGGAACAATATACAGAAAGCGAGAAATAATTAGGAAAAGATATGGGTCTAAAAGCATCTCAGATAGACCATAGTCACTAGGCCAACTTGTCATACAGAAAAGTTATTGCAGAGGTAGGGAGTGGGGGCGGGGAGAGAAGGGATGGAAGGGTAAGGTTTGAAAGCAGAAAGAAAACCGCAGGCTGTCAAACAAGTGCATTAACTGACCCCAGCACTTGGAGAAACTGTGGTCATACATGGCTCCTTTTAGTTAAGCATTTCTATGGTATTTTCCTTAGAGACTTTGAAGTTAATACTAACAATGTGTGATCATCTAGGAGGAAGTATTATAGTTGGAAGTATTATCAGATATCATGCTCTGGAAATATTGTCAACATTTTCAGAATAATGTGTTTTGTAGTTAAGTTTGAATTATCATCTAATCTGTTCTCAGATTCTGGTTAAGATATGTGGGGGATGCCAGAGTAATCTGGGGAAAGCATGATCTAAGACCAATCAACCTCATTTTCTCTTCATGAAGTATATATTTTTAAAAACAAAACTTTAGCCTAATGCAGGAAATTAGAAAGGGATAAGAAAGCTGATGGAACTTAACACTCAGTTGTGCTCTAATATGTTTCCATTTCTCTGAGTGTTGAACATTTGTATGGAACTTTGGGGTGGTAGATGCGTCTTTGATAATAAGCTGATGAAGTGCAACTCATCTCAGATTATTCTATTAGATTCATCTTAGACACTATGATGCCTTAAATTAGAAGCATCCCTCTGCCTCTTCTAGCTTTTCTTTCCAATACATTATACACAAATATTGCAGAAGCACCAGAGTTCTGAGTGGTTCAAAGCACAGAGGTCATTATTCATGTTTTAACATGCTACTTTCTGGGATCAATAAAATAGATTTTAGCTAGGTTGGTAACTGCTTATTGTGTTTCCACGAAATTCTAATTATTTTAGGGAAGGACCAGATTCTAAAAGCTTTCTGTAGCTATAGTATTTTGAAATAACATCAAAGTGTTGTTTAGAAATTGCCATTGAAATATTGTGGATAAGATTTGCATGTATTTATACATATATTACAATGCAACTGCTAAAAGCAATGATACATATTCATTTTAATTAAAGTTTACTAATGGGAAATTAATGGCAGCTTTTAAAGTCGCAGGAGGTGATGCTGGGAAAGAGCTATTTGAAATAATGAAGTGAATTTTTGCTACCATGTGAAAAGAGCAATTATGACTTTAAAGGAACTATGCCTGTGAATGAATGAGAAAGTACTTTCTTTTCTTATTTTTTTGATGATTTCAGAAATTACTAAGAGTGCAGTTTAGCCAGTGGGAATCACAGATGCCCAAAGAGAACAGTTTTTTGTCCTACACTTTTGATCAATTGCATCCAAATGTCTTTTTCCTTCAGAAATTATGAAGTTTATTCTTAAAATTCTACCGGGATTTCTCCTATGTATGTATGTATATATGTATGTACATAGTGAATAGTTAACTCTTTACTAGAAGATATGTACATTGTAAATAATAAGTCAGGGGATGGCAGAGTGGGGAGCATTTTCGCTATTCTTACTATTTTGGGTTTTGATTTCGAGTCTCCGTCAGGAGAGTTATGTGGGGAAAATGTGGGAAAAATGCAGTTTTTTTCTGCTCTGGTCATGCTTGCTCTTCCAGAAGGCATTGATGGTGTCCTGTGTTCAAACAGGTTGGGAAAATGACAGGTTAAACAAAGTTAAACAGCTCTCTTTACAGCAGGACTTCTCAGAGCCTTTAATAAGCTAAGGTACCGTTGTAAGTTTTTAAAGGCACATCTATTAAATATTCTTATAATGATGCATGCAAAGCACTTTGATTAACACACCATTCTTAAACTTGGCCAAACAAAAATAATAACAATTTTATCTGGCACTTTAAAAATACATAAATGTTTTTTCTACTTTTTATGTCATCTAAATTTTAAAATAACCTAAGAGGAAATTATTAGCCTCTGTATATGTAAGAAAACTGGCTCAGAGAGTTTAAGTAACTGGCTCAACCTTTTAATAGGGTCACCCAACTGTTATGTAGTATAGCTGGGATTAAAAACGGGGCCTGTTTTATCATACAGTCTATGCTTTTTCTGCTGACTTGGCGACCTCTAGATGCCAGCTTAGATAATAATGACAACAATGTATACAAATAACAATAACCTTCACTGCCGACGGCAAAGTGGGAAAGGGAGCTGCCGTTTAGACAGATTAGGGGGTCTTTCCACTAACACACCAGTAGTTAAACAGTAAAACAGAGACTTGAACTCAGCTCTTTCAACTCTCAGTTCATTGCCTTACTTGCTACACCGTTTGGACACACTGAGGTTGTTTAATTAAATCCCAGCTAAGGAACATGATCTCTTAGTGGTTTTAATAATTAAAGAGCATAATGTATGTGAATATGTGAGAAGTTATTTGCAAATGATAAAGAGGTTCTAGAGTTAAGGAATGGGTAGAAAAACTAGAGAGGATATAGGTTACACCTTTGACTATCGAAAAAGGTGTGTTTTGATTCTGGGTTAGTCCTGAATTCCAATATAGATTAGGCAAGATTGATGCCATTTGCTGAGTTTATCAAATGGTTATTTTCTGCGTATATGTGTTCCCTCTCTATACATATCTATTAATTAGTCATTCAAAATACACTGAGCACCTGCTATGTACAAGACACTGTGCTGGTTACTAATTATTCCAAGATGAATAAAATATATATATTTCAAGGAATCTACTGTCTAGTGGGTAAGACAGAAAAGTCAACAGACCATCTCAATAAGTGCTATGATAGAAACTGGAAATGCACACCACCTTGATAGTTCAGCTGAGAGTCTCTGGAAAAGGGGATATCTGAGCAAAGGTTTGAGTGATGAGAAAAATCTGCTTTCTGAATAAAGTGGGATATTGGCTTTAGAACCTTAGATACAATGTGTAAAGGCGGAGAGGCAAGAAAGAACAAGACGGCTTAAGTGCATGTTCTATATATGGAGTGAGGGAGGGAGAGTAGCTAGAGAGGAAGACAGAGAACTTGTTGGGCCAGCTAATG